AGCATAGGTGCCCACCTTCGAGGTAGAGGGAGGGCAGGTGTGAACCAGGTTACGACGGAGAGTATTTACCTGGCGAAAGGAGAGTCTGCAGTTGAGGGACTGCAGGGGCCGACGGAGGGAGTAGATCTCCTCAATGTAACGCAGGTGAGGAGACTCATTGGGAGGGGAGTCATGGTAGAAGGTACGTCGCGCCCTGGATAACGCGACGTCTAGGACATGGCGAGGATAGCCCAGTTTGGAGAACGAACGACGCAGGAAGTCGATCTCTCCATCCAGGTACTGGGGGTCACAGATGCGGAGGGCACGGAGAAACAGCGAGGTGGCAACCCCTCTCTTCACATGCAGTGGATGGTACGAGAGGAAGTGTATGTACATACCACTGTGCATAGGTTTTCTGTGTATAGAAAAGGAGAAATGATCAGCTGCTGCCCAATTTCAACTTGAACAGCGGTTTCTCTCCTGCCGACAGCCTCCTCTTTCTCACTTTCATCAATAAATCTAGTTTGTGCATTGTGGGCTTTTCTTCCATATTATCAACACGATATTGTGTTTTTCTTTGCATCATGGACCCCACGGTTAAACGAAATCTCTCGTTCCTGTTTGCCTTCTTCCCCGACCTGGTTCCTGCCTTTCGCGCTTTCGAAGATTCCGTCATCGCCACGGCCCGACGGAAGAATCAACTGCGTTTCCTCCGAGACTGCCTCGAGGAGCAGGTGCTCCCTTCCTCGATCGGCAGCCTCTTGAAGCACTCGGATGGAGGATCTCCTTTTCCTGATTATGCTCGTTCCCTCTTCCTTGAACGGATCCGCGCTGGTAAGAGGGATGTCGAGCTTTCCTACTATCGCTCGCGGGTTCGTTCTGACCTCCTGAAGGAACGACTCCCCGGCCATGTCTTCCAGCTCCTAGCTGACGTGGCCCACGATTCTTCCCGGTTCCTCTCCACTACCCATGCTCGCTCCCTCTCCCAGAAACTCTAACCTCACCTCCCGTAGTCCCTGGTCCCGCATCTCCCTCACCGACGCGGTTACCAACCTTTCCTCCCTGTCCTTGACCTCTCACCTCCTTGGCTTCGGTCTTTCCTTTGCTCTCCGTCCTCTTCCCCTTACCTCTATTGACATCATTTCTTCCTTTGACTGGTTCATCTCCGCTCATAGGAACCTGCCTGATGTCTCCCTCCTTCGTGGGGCCTTCCTTCCGGCCCTCGAGTCTCTCATTCACCCTAACCCTTCCATCCCCAGGCGTTACCGTGAGGCCCTTCACAGCCTGCGCAGGGAGGATGTCACCATTTTGGCTTCTGCCAAAGGTAACTCGGTGGTGGTCCTCGACCGTACCTCCTACCTGCAGAAGGCCCAGGACCTGTTAGGTGACGCCTCCACCTATACCCCCTTGACCAGTGACCCTCGGGAACGCATTGCTGCCACTTTCCACCGTCGTCTGAGAGAGCTTGCAGCCTGTTTCCCGGAGGCGAACCTTTACCAGAGGTTCAAGATCGTTAACCCTCGCCTCCCTCATTTCTATGGGCTTCCTGTGTGTATATATATATTATATATATAATATATATATATATATATATATATATATATATATTATATATGTATAATATGTATATATGTATATATTTATATATGTATATATGTATATATGTATATATATATGCATATATATATATATATTATGTATATATATATATTATATATTATAATATATATATATATATATATATATATATATATAA